GGATCACCTCCGGGCCAGGGATGGAACTCGCATTGAAGTGGCTGTGGCTACCTTGCAGTGCTGGGCATCAGCCCACTGTGCCATCAGGGAAGACTGTAATACCTCTGTTTTCAAATAAAACAATCTCTTTATGTAATTTTCCATAGTTAAAAAAGCATGCTTTGCTAATTTCCCCTTCCATAAATTCTTATTAAAAACAGCAGTTGAAAGTTAGCTTTAAACATACTTTTGATACATTTAATGTAAATTCAGTTCTTTAGTAGACATTTATAAATTAACTGCTCTGAGTCTGTGCACTTAGATAGGTCCCTGAGTTGCAGAATGCATGGGTAGTTAGGCAAACACAAACACCAACATGGAGGGAGCTATCATGAGCTCAGAACACTTAGTTTCAAGGAAATATTAGTAGAAGGAGTTTGTCTACCTTCGAGACATGTGTCAAGAAAGCTTTTGTATAAGCTGTTTGTATTTGGTCTACCAAGATGAGTTTGCTACAAAAATTGATGGGGAAGGGTATTGGGATAAGGGGCAATCAGCGAAGATAGGTGTCAGGGTGGCAGGCAAAATTTGTGTGTAGAAATAAGAGGCAAGGTCAAGATTGCATTCTGATTTCTCAATTCTTTGTGTCTTATATGAAATGCCAGGGCTTCTTGTACAACTGTCTGCATGTTAGTAATTAGATTGGGGTTGTGGGAGAATATTATACAATACTGCTCCAGACCATGTCTCTTTAAAAATAACAGCTGTGGCCCATATTTCCTAGTTCCATCACACTTCAGGTTGAATGGTGAATAAAACAAGAGGAGAGTAGAGGGACAGCTGTGGATACTCTAAGAAACTGAAACCTAGCCTTGCCAGGACACAGTCATCAGTTTCTCTAGCCTTCAAGACTATCTCATGATTATCTGCAATCATCCATCTCTCTTTACTCCCAAGACTTCTAAATAGAATATTTTGGAGAAGGGATTTATTAATCTAAGTATGAGTAAGAACCATGGTAGATGAAAATATTGAGAACCCCATTAGCTGAAGAACACTAGCAGATTAACTTTTAACTCTTGTTTTTGGCTTGCCTTGTTTTGGCAGGGAAGTAAGATGTAGATAGAAATAATAGTTCTATACCTTTTAAAAATGTTTCCTCATCATCAGTTTGTCCACTTCCAAAAAGGTCAGGCAGTCTTGTGGGGTTTCGAAGTATAAAATTCTGGCATCCAGTTTGTGATATTACCAGCACAGAGAGGCAAAAAAAAGCTCCTACTCTACTCTGACTGCCAAGAAGATACAATTCTCTAAGCTGCATGCCAGTGTTTGATATTTATTGGATAAAACATCTGTCCTAATTCTTTAGTTTCCTGGCTTCTGTTGTAATTTCACATGCTGAGATTTCCCTCTATCCTTACTTTAACAATTTTTCTTTGGCTTTCATTTTAGAGGCCAGACTCATTCCCTTAGATAAATATCCAGGCAACATTTTTGAATGATTCCTGTACTATTTTTTTTTTGTCCATGTTACTAAGAAAGCTGCAAGAAGGAGAGAAACAAATCCTAGGTGTTTAGTCAGAATATAAATGCTTGAACTGTACAATCCAAATGTTCAGTTCAGTGTTTTCAGTTTAGTCAGCCTCATCTATACATGGCAGAAGAATGAGTAAAATCACTCATATATCTCCTATGCTCATGTTAAGGATCTGTAATTGTCAGTACCCCTTATCTGCATGCGCGTGCGCGCGCACACACACACACACACACACACACAGGCATTCTCTTCTCTCTCTTACTGTCTGGAGTCCAAAGAAGCATTACATGGATTCTCCACTCTGTTTTCTTTCTTGACTTTTTTGCTTAAAAATAAGGGGTTTGTTTTAAACCCACATACAGATTTATTTCATATTACATTGATTTACTTTAAGATTGTATCATTATTTTATTAGAAATAAATAATTAATGATGGTTTGCCTCAGATGTAGGATTAAAATCTAGAAAGAGAAATGGGGGTGGAGGAAATCACTATACAGTAACAGTATTCTTGTTACTTCCCTTGGGTCTGGGGAGGTAAAGTAAAGTAGTCTTGGGTTTAAGGAGAATGAGTTTTGAGAAAAAAGCTGGTTCAACTTTATTGCCCTACCCTTCCACTTGAAGTTCTGGACTCTACATTGAACCGATTCCTTCTTTTGGAAATACCATATGTAATTACATGCGAGTCACTATGAACACAGTACAATCATAAGTTTAAGTGAATAATACAGGAAATCCACTGCCACTGCCAACGGTACCATGAAACTGGGTTTCTTAAGTCAGAGAGAAGTAAAGCAAGTGATGGATTACAGATCTGAGATCCCAGGTCAGCTGAGCGTGTACTGCTATTATGTATACAGGTACTGCAAGGAGCCTAAGAGCTTTGCATACTCACAGATTTGACATTTATTGTTTTTTGATCATGTTGCATTGAAGTTTGCCGTGTGAAGACTCATGAGTGAAGTAATTTTAAGCTATTGGTGAATAGTTGTTTAATTTGTAGAAGCAGTCTCATGATTTTTATAAGTTCACTAAATCTTTTTGGTTCTGTTTTGTGGCTAGCTAATCCATAAGTTTACTTTTCTCTAAGTGGAAAGACTACTCTAAAAATTTGAAAGTATTTCAGATTTACTCATGCACACTTTACTTCTGGTTGGGCTAGTATGAGAGCCATTCATATCTGTCCAACTGGGATCCTATATTCTATTGATATCTTTTTCTCATCTCCCAAGTTTGTTGTACTTTATAGAGATTCCAGAACATTAAAAAATATCACCTATGCAGTCAGTATAAAAATTATTTTTCTTTGGGAATGTAAATTGATGATTACTTCCAATAATTCTTGATAAGCAAGCTTTAAGAAGTGTTAACAGTGCCCTCCCTGGTGGTGCATCAGGTTAAAGCACAGCACTAAGAAGCTAAAGCCACTTCAGCATGAGTTCAATCCCTGGCCCTGGAGGTGACCACATGGCATGGCAGACCTCTCCTGACCCACCCCGCTGCTCCCCTCAGCAGTGTACTCGACATTTGGCCTGTTCTGCTCCCCACTCTGTCTCTGGTGAAACCTCTCATTGCCCCTGCACCTCTGGCCTGTTCCCCAGTTCTGTATGTATAAATAAATCTTAAAAAAAAAAAAAAGTGTTAACAAATTGTGCTAGTAATCTGATGGAGAAGCCTAGGAGGTACAGATTATGCAAATCATGTTATAAAATGTTCCTTCACTAGCACATTAAAGGAAAAAAGTCATTGTGGGGAAAAAAGTCATGTGATTTTTAATTCAAGAACTCTTCTTACTCTCTGTACAAAATATTTTACTACCAAGAGCATAGTATTCCCTGGGTCAGTCACTCTCACCTATAGTTCTCAATTTTTCCATGTTAGGGGAAAAAAATAATTGTTTTCCCTGACCTCACTAACTCCGACATGATGTGAGTAACTTAAGGGTCTTTAGGCATTGGATTTTCTGCAACATTTCTTGGCTTATAGACCAAGTGTTAAAAGTAGAAAATGATGGCCTTGGCACTGGGTTCTAGCTCCACTGGGCATTAACCCTATAACAATGCAAGGTACTGAGCTGCTGGAACTCTAGTTTTCTCTCTCCCACATGGAAGCACTGCCTTTCCACGTCTGAGGAAGTTTCAAGATGAGATGGAAATGTACATGTCAAGTGTCTGGCATTAATTACTGCCAATTATTCTCTGTTCCATACCTTTTTCATTCGGCTTCCTGATTACTTTTTGTATTAAAACAAAACTTGATTAACTCTTTTTTTCTGAACATTCTCTTTCCTGAAATGCATTTTTGTTGTCGACCATCTGTGTTTAAATCTATCTAAAGCAGCTTGAGTCTCTACACTGTGCATGTGCCTGTGCTTCCATTTTTGATTAGTATAGTTTCTACTCTTCCTCCTTCCTTTAAAACTCAGGTCAGAATCCTCCCAAATTGCTGTTCATTGCAACATTTTCTTGGATCTGTGTAACCCTAATGCCCTTAAAAAATGTATTTTGAGTCTTACAGTATGTTCTGAAGTTTTTCTCTTCTATCTAACTTCCTGTTGCCTGCTGTCTTAGACATATGCCTCCATTTTATCACTACTCACGGCAGTTCTTTGCTTTGATTTTCCCAGTAGCTACTATTGCCTAATGTGCAGAGAAAAGGGCCTGTGCCTGCTTTCTGGCCTGAACACTCAGTGTTAGCCCTGGTGTCTCAGGTGGAATGTTTGAGGAGGACAGGAAGTAGCCTTCTGATGCTAGCATGAATTGCATGGAGCAGAAAGTTAACATGGGTGAATTGCTCATCCATATCAGTGAGGCATTGTTTATTCTAGAGAGCAGACATTTTGAAGAAAATGTCTTCTATAGAATAGGCAAAGGGAAATCCTGACTCTGATCAAAATCTGAAGATTAAATTGTAATCTGCAGAGGTTTGCAATTTTTGTGAAAAGAATTGTCTTAGTTGACATCCAGCATCTTGAATTCATTTTCTCCTTTTCCTTGCCATGTGACTTGATCCATAACATAAGAATAAACATGCATCAGTTGATTCTGTAAAGGGAGGATTGTTAAATAGAACAATCAAGATACCTTTGGTATTGGTAGATTTCAATTAATTTCATTAATTTAGGTGTCTTCAGAATACTATGTATTAGCCAGTCTCTGTATTCAGATTCTGAAAGTGTCTACTGCCTCTCAGTTCTTGAGGCAGATCTTCTGATATTTTTTTTTATGTCCAGGCAATTGCCCTATGACTTAGGAATCATTATTTAATGGATAAGGAAACGGCGTTTTAGGGAGGTTAAATGTAACCATGGCCACACAGTTGTTAAATGATCTCTTCAAATCTAGATCCTCTTTTTTTTACGGTGTGATTTTGCTTTATTTTAGGTATCCATTTTCACTTGGAGAAAAGCTCCAAGTGAGTTAATTACAGTGGATATAAAAAAAGGAATTCAAATTAGTAATATCATTATCTCTCTCTGATTCTAGTTTGTGCAAAGCAGGTAACTGATGAAGCATCTTCCACTCGAGATTCAAGCCTTACTAACACAGCAGTGCAAAGCAAATTAGTGTCTTCCTTTCAGCAACACACCAAAAAGGCTCTTAAACAGGTAAGACAGCTAACATTCATTCTCTGTTTTGCAGTTCTTCTTGTATAAATTGATGGATGTTCTGTGGCTCTAACAAAATAGGTAAGAACCTAGCAACCAGAAAGCAATAGAAGTATCCTGAATGTAACCATTCCATAAAATCAAATACACTAACTTTAATCTGTACTAAGCATGAGGAGAGACTTGGCTGAGAACTTGATATGAAATAGAAGAGGGAAAATGTGGTTGGAAATATATCCAAACTTCTATTAAGATTTGTGTGTATGAATTATAGCAAACATGCTGCATTAATAAATGCATTGCATATTTTGAAAATAATGTCTCTGTATGCTCATGTCTATATGATAGTTGACCCAAAAATAAATATTTTATTCATATTATGGAGATGTATTAAATTACAGTAAGAGAATTAGTGATTGTGGCTTACTTATATCTGTAGTATATCCATCAATGAGTGGTGCTGGAGTTGAATGAGGTTAACTTTGCAGTATCATCTGCACATTACTTAAGTAGTTGTGTCCTCTGTGTCTTTGCCCTGATGTGATATGTGTGTGCTTGGTATGTGTGTGGAGGGGTCGTAAGTTATAAGGTTTTATACACACAAACACACACACATATGTATCTATACATATGTATGCCATGACCTTTTACGTGCACACACACATATAAATTATAGAACATATGTGTGTTATATAATTATAAGATTCCCCTCTGAGTTTTGATACACCCAGGTTTGCATCATTGCTATTTTCTCCCCTGAATCTCAGTTTTCTTCTCTGGAAAATACTAGTACCTTATGCATGAGAGTGATCTGAGAATAAGCATGTGGTAGAGTGAGTGATTGGCTCATAATAATGCTCAGTAAATGTTACCTACTGCTGTTACACTGACAATTCTGAACGATGTAGGGGAAAATGAAGTGATGGTAATGGTTTAGTGGTGACAGTGCAGGATGATAATACTAATGCCAAAAGTGGAAAACGCATATTTAGCCCAAAATTCCTGGTTTTCCCTTGTTTCACAGCATCCCTCTTATGTTTTTTATTTTGATCTTTCTGTGACAATCCCCATCCATACCACTCTGAGCTAATCTTTATTAGGTCTAGGAATGTATGTAATGTTCTAGTGACATATTTATAATGAGACAGGAAAACTGTGCTTTGAGTACAGTTTAAATTGTTGTAAAAACCCAAATAACCTATAAACCTTTTAGGAGAGTCATACCAATCTCCTAGACTTGGAACTCTACCAACTTCTCTTTACTTCAAAGAAGGAAAGATAGGAAAGAAACAATGTATTTTTTTTCTACTGAATTACATTACTTTATTCATTTTTAAAATTGCAGTATTTCCATTCATTGGCATTATACTTAAGATAATAACCATATCTCATCCTACATCAGTCAAATAATCTTTGGTGAATTTGCTCTTGTGAAATGTTTCAGATGCCAAGAACAAAATTGAATTCAGTGTTGAGATCTTTTTTAATTGCTGAAATGAAGGTTGGATAATGATTTGAAAGCTGGTGGCAAAAGCTTATTCAGGTGGCAAATAGGATGCAGGTAATAAAATACTAATCAGCCTAGAACAAAAGATACAAAACTGGATACTGGTAGTTGTAGCAGTTAAGAATCACAGATGGGATCATAAATGAAACTCATACTTCTGAAGAGCAGTGATTTAGAAAATGAGTATACCAGGAAATCTTTCTGTAAATGAATGTAAAGCTAAAGACTCAAGTCTCTATATTGACATGTCTCATTATTTTTTACTTTCTTCATTTTGATCTCATGGCATTTGAACATTTTTTACATTTGCTAGAATATTACACAGCTTTGAGTTAGTGGTTGTTTAATTTTGTTTTGTTGTATACCATGTGTTCATGGCAAATAACACTTGCTTCCTTTGGGAAATAAGCTTTGTTAAAAAGCCTGTCCTGTAAGCTTCTTACTGTCCCAAAAGAAATATATATTCATTTCTTAACTTCATATTGTATAACCTAGTAACAAGTTAGTTACCAAGTGAATATAGCACAATATATGTCATATATGCTAATGCTTGATTAATAATCAAATTCATATTGGAAGTACATTTAGAAGAAAAGCTGTTCTTGCGGAATTTTGCTCAGATTCCCTATAATTGCTGAATTTCTTAAGACAGCATTTCAAAAATTGACTGAACATGCAGGATTTTAAATTGTAGCAGCCTCAGCAAATTTGCAGGTTTCTTTTGGATATTTTGAATGACTGTAACCATGTGGAATTCTGTGTATTATATACATATGAATGTCTGTTCTGTATTTGTTAATGTTTTATATACAAACACACACACACGTACACACACACCATGATCTTATGAATGTAAGGTAAGCTGAATGATCCTAGTAATTACACTAGCTGACATTTACTTTTCTGAATTCCATATAGTCTGCTCTTCATTTTACATGTGCTATGCTATTTAATTCTCATAAATTAAAGTATATACCAGTTACCTCATTTTTCCAATGTGAAAACTAAGTTCATTGCCCAAGATCATCCAACAACATTTGAACCATAATCATAGTGTTAGATCCTGTTCTCTTAACTGATAACTGCCTTTCAGCATATGTTATGTAATACAATGACAAATCTTTGACATTATCCAAGGAGATTTACATTATTAATTATTTATAAAAAGGAAAGTGATAGAGTATACTATTAATATTATTTCTGAACACAGATGCTTATATTCAGTATCAGCACATACTAATGATAAACACTTAAATATACTTTGCTCTTATCATATTCCTAGAAATATATCCTGCATCAGTAGGGCTTTAAAATTTCCATTATATATTGGCCAGTGTAGATTCTTAGAAACAAGTTAAAAAACAAAGCTCTAAAGCTTTATAAGCATAAAGAAAGCAACAAATTTCTATGTAAAATATACCAAGTATCATTTACCAGATGTGAACCTCCTACCCTTCACTCCCTTGTTCAACTGAAAAACAGAGCTAGAGAGAGTATATTCTGTTATTTCTCAATACTATGGGTGCAGTGCAATTATAGGCTGAACAGTAATATAGATGGTATAGTACCCTATCACTATTGATATAAAATAATAACATTGATTGTTCCAAAATATCTGGATCCCTTTTACTTTATGATCATCAAAAAGATCCTTGACATCATATGTTGGGTGTAATTGCATGACTAATGCATTGTTATTTCAGCAGGTTATTTTTTACTGAATAAGCATATTCAAAAGTCTGAGTAGCAGATTGCTGATTACTACCCAGGTTTCTTTCTGTCTTATTATTTGAGTTGTGGTAATCCTAAAAAGAACATAATGATTAAATTGTGAATTTTAAAGAAGAAGAAGAAAGATTAAATTTTGGAAGTTTTTAAGTAACAGAACCAAATGAACAATGAAAGAAGGATGCATTGTATTATGATGGGAGGTAACATGGATAATAAACCTTTCCATGTTAGTGTTGGTTTAACTCATGCAGTTATTTATTTACAATGGTAGAATTGATTCATAAAGTTTTCATATCAGAGCACATGTATATTGTTGGTGTTTTGCTTTTGCTTTGTATGTTTGAGTAATACTGTGAAATCCCGAAGGTTATGATGCACTGTGGCAGTTTCAGAACATGGGTATTGACATTTATCATACTGCCAACAGTGCAGGTGGTGGCTGCCTGATGTAGCCAGCAGTGTGATTTGTATGTACTTTTAATGTCTATAGCATTCACAGCATGTGATATTTTCATAGTTTTCAGTGATGAACTAAACTACTTTCAGTGCATTAAGTTACCTTGTTGAACTTATTGCTCTGAAAATACAGCAGGCCCTCCTTGCCTTATGCAAATTTCAGGTTAACATAGAAATCTGTGATTTCTTTTCTTTTTTTTTCATGAAAGAAATGAGGACCAATTCATATTTTTAGAATTCTTAGCAACTTTCTGTTTAACGAATAAAATTTTTTTTAAAGATTTATTTATTCAATCATATAGAACTGGGGTACATGCCAGAGGTGCAGGGGCGGTGAGAGGATTCACCACAGACAGAGTGGGGAGCAGAACAGGCAGATCTAGGAAGTAAACTGCTAAGGGGAGCAGTGTGCGGGTCAGGAGAGGTCTGCTGCGCCATGTGGGTCACCTCTGGGGCAGGCGGGGATTGAACTCATGCTGAAGTGTCTTTAGCTTCTTAGTGTTGCACTTTAACCTGCTGCACCACCAGGGAGGGCCCAATAAATAAAATGTTTATCGAAAAAAAAAATTGTTTTTTTTTTTATTGAAGGGAATACCACCTATGTCTCCAGAGAAAAGTGTGTTCACTTAGCATCTTTTGATTTCTTTCTGTTCACTTAAAACCAGAATTATAATTGATGTGTGATAATCTTTACTTTTTCTAGACTTACTTAAATCCTGTATGGCTATTTTCTTTTGAAATTAATTATTTCCAAGTTTAAGCCTGTACATTTCTTCCATACCAAATATTACCTGGAACTATTAAACTTGGTAAGTCCTACGTACTCTGAATTTTTGGCATGAGGACATTACACATGGAGGCTAAAGGAAAGTACATTCCTTTATAATAGACTGAATTTAACCATCTGCTTATTTGGGTTTTGATATTGCTTCTTTTTTTCACTTGAAATTACAGGATTTAAAAATGTTTAGTAAGGTATTCCAATTAGCATTCCACAGTATAGCTAAGACGAGTAGTTAGAGGTAGCTCATTATCATTCCTCGAAGATGAATTTAGACTAAAATAACTTGTTATATAGTATCGGTGTCAAAATAAACCATGTTATAGCTTGATCAACAGGGACACAACTAGCTAATTAAAACCTTTGATGGAAAATAGAAAAAAAAGCAACTTAGCACTAAAATTGTAACCTCTTTTCAGGGTACTCTTGTACAGAACAAACTTTCCACGACTTTCTAAAGTAGCCTTCTTAATCCTGCTTTCTTAATTTATTAAATAAATAGATTTATATTTTCCAGCATGTGGAATATGCAAGCTTAGGTGGTTACAAATTGAATTGCATCTATATTTGTAATATAATATGAAATAGGAATTGTCTTATTGTCTTGGAATTTTAATTAAAACTCAAAATTGAGAATAATGGCCTATAAGTATAAGTAGTTGTAAAGAGAGGTGCTAGAAATAGCCTTAAAGAACTCACTTAGAGAAGGCCAGATGTCCCACTGACCATCCTCCAACAGTCTATATAGAAAAACATCTTGGGCCCTCCCGGTGGCGCAGCGGGTTAAAGTTAAAGCACAGCACTAAGAAGTTAAAGCCACTTCCGCATGAGTTCGATTCCCGCCTGCCCCAGAGGTGACCACATGGCGTGGCAGACCTCTCCTGACCCACCAGCTGCTCCCCTCAGCAGTGTACTTCGTCGATCTGCCTGTTCTGCTCCCCACTCTGTCTCTGGTGAAGCCTCTCGCCGCCCCTGAGCCTCTGGCCTGTACCCCGGTTCTGTATGCACAAATAAATCTTAGAAAAACATCTCTGTGAATTTCCTATTTACAACATCTTACCAATACTGTAGGCTCTGTTTTATAGGAGTATTTGCCTCCATAGTGCCCAGCATTACTCAGCTCGCTAAGTCTGTTTTTTCCTCTGCAGCCTCATCCTTAATCATGGCCCCACACAGTTACTAAGATGGCTCTGGAGCAGCCCCCACGCCTCTCAAGTGCAGCACATTAGTTAGACTCAGTTTTGTTTTTTGGTTTTTTTTTTTTTTGGAGAGGTGTGGGAATAGTGCTTAGCAGATATCAAAGATTTGTGTTCTCACTCTGAATTTGAATCCGTCTTATTTGTTTTGTCTGGCACACTATTTAAAAACAAATACTCATCTGAAGTCCAGTTGTGGCATTTCTTTGCGTTGTTATTACCTTCTGCAGTGAGATGTGTTTTTTCCCACACACTACTACTTTCCCCTCTGTCACTGTCTTACTCTAGCCAGCGTATTCCAAATAAACGTTGCATTTTGAAAGGATTGTGAAACAGAGACAACATTGTTTGAGTCGTTGATGTGTATGTAGTTGTAGAAATAAATTGCATAGCCAGTCAGAGAAAGTGTGGAGAACTAGCCTCTATTTGCAGGATGCATGCCCTACAACAGAGACCAGCAATCATTGTAAGGCAGAAATTGACAGAAGGTTTATTAACCTTCTTTATTAACACAAATAGCAGAGTTCTCTTGTTTGGAACCAACTCACACTATCTTAAGCATCTCATTTGAGGCAGCTTTGCCTCCCTTTTTCCCCCCTCTACATTCTGATCTGCTTGAAAGGATATCCCCAATCTCCAGAATCCCACTTTCTAGAAAGTTAATTGGAATCTTCATGGTAGCCTAAGGTTGTACCCTAATATGACTATGGATCTTGTAAATCCAATCAAGATAAAACTTCTAATAATTGAGCTCTGACCCCTCAGAATTTGTCTGGTAGCCTATGGCTTTACTACTGTGACTAGTGTCATAGTAAATAAGCTTTTCCCAAGTTTGCTTACTTACTCCTAAAAAAAAAGTTATTTGAGTCAAGTATATTGCTTTTTTTTCCCCCAGAAGTACAATTGCTTTAATACACTTAAAGCAACCAATTTCTTATCGATGTGCATAATTTTGGTCACCTATAGGTACAAGTGTTACATTTTAGAATCTCAAAATATATGGTATTGTTCAAGTTTTTGGAGTAGAAGATACATATTAAGAAAAGTTCATTGAGATGGACTTAGTATTAACATTCCTTTATGCTTTCCCCGACTACATATTGACTCTTTAAAATTAAAAATAGCTCTACCAATTATTGTCATCATTATCAGTGATGTTCAGTTCTATGAACTTTAAAAATAGAGGACAGTATTTTGTGTGACTTTATTTTACTACATGCCATAAAAAGGCATGCCATACTTGATCCATGATTCTAGCCTCTGGTCTATGGTTACTTCTTTTTCTTAACCAACATTTTCTAAAATATATCTCCCTACCCTAAGATAAAATAATTATTTTAAAATGCCCATTTAGGCTGTCATGAGAAGTATCAAGGGGGATATATGACATGTGGACTCCTGTTTTATAGCACATATGCTCTCATTAAATATTATTGACAAGTTAAAGATAAGGAGGATGGCATCTTACTCATCTTTGTATCTCTTGTCCCTCCACAGTGCCTGGCACTTTATAGTTACAGGGAGGAATTCTTTATCACTAGCCACAGTATCATTTGTAATAGAACTTTCAAGTAATTTACTTTCCCATCTGGTTTTAAATCTCATCTGGAAATGTCTTCTCTTATTTAAATGGTATTTAATTTTTCACTTCTATAATTATCCCATTGCTAAATCTTGCAATCAACAAGTTGGACATTCAGTTAACTGTCCTTTGTAAATAAAGTGGCACTATTTCTGAGAGTCATGGGGTATATAATAAATGCAGTTTTTCAAGAGACTTTGACAACTGCTGGTTGAAAAGCATTAATCACATAACTGAGATGTTATAGAATTGGTAGAAATTACATAGAAGCCAGAAACAGAAAGGTCTGAGACTGTCTGTGGCCAGCCTTTTAACCTTTTGAGGAGTGTTAGCATTCCTGTAACCGTGAACTTAATGGCTCTTCGGTTTCCTGTGTTTAAGACCCCTTTTATTACAGGTAATTTTCTGTGTAAAGCGATCAGCTAGATAAGCTGTATTTCAAAACTTTTAAATGTCTTTTATTACATTATTATCACCATGGTTGATTCATTTATGAAATACAAAGCACACCCATTTGGAGAGATTTATTCTCCTATCAATTTTTTTTTTCCCCTGGATTTGCCAGAACGCCGTCATGTTCGTGTTCTGAAGGTTAATGTCCAAAGTCAAGCAGACAGAAGCCAAGTGCTGCAAGGTTTCCAAGATTAGGACTGATTCCCTTCACAGAAATAAATGATTCCTGCCATGTTCAGTGATTTTGTGCAGCGCTCCCCACGGCTGAGTGAGTGCATCAATACTGTAGTCCTTACCTGCTGTACATACTGATGACACTTGGTGTTAACTTGATTGACTGAGCAGTGCACTGGAGAGGACGCACCTGCAAGAGAAGTGCAGACACATATATTTTTATCCTGGTGTTGAAACATTTATTTTACATTTATTTTACTTGGGAGTCATGGTTTCAAATTCCATGGGCTTTCAAGCCATGCGGCTAAGGTAGAATAAACCTTTAAGTGTGGCTTTGTTTTCAGAATTATACTGAAAATTGTCTCAGATTTAGTCCCTCTGCCAAAACCTGGTTTTATGTTTTTGAGGGAAAATGACATGAAGGTGACTGTTAAAAATTCTGACAAATTACTGACTCTTTGGAATTTAAGTCTCTTAAAGAGGTTCTGTCTAACAATGGGCAAATGGATCATTTATTTCAATTATGAGAAATCATTTTGGCTATATTTTTACATTTTATTATCATGTTTTGTAGGCTTTGAGACAGCAGCAGAAAAGAAGAAATGGAGTCTCAATGATGGTAAACAAGACTGTTCCTCGTGTTGTTTTGACACCATTAAAGGTGTCTGATGAGCAGTCGGATTCGCCTTCAGGTAAAGAGTTAAAATATTGTATGCTTGGCCAGTTTCTTCCCGGAGGAGACTTCCTCACTAAGAGAGATGTCATGAATTTTCTCTGAAACTGAATAATACTTCCATTTTTTTAGACCTTAGAATCTTTCAGTAATTCAAAAATAATAGGATAGTTTGCTCTTAAAAAAAAATAAAAAGGGCAGCAGCTCACTCATCATCAAAGGACTTCATTTGCTAATGTCAGTAGGCTTAAGAAAATGTGTGGCAATGCTTAGGTGGATTTTGTTGTTGTTGCTTTGTCTTTTGTTTGAATGTTGAACTTTAATGGTGGACCACATGCTGATGTGTAATGCCATCAAAAGCAGTTCTTTCGGGAGTGAGTGTGAATTTGTTTGTCAGTACTCTGCGGCAGAATCAGCCATCCTTTATTAGGTTTTGTGTCCTGGCAACATTCTTCTCACCTCAGTGCAGCCCTGACCTTTTCTTCTAACTTAACGTCTGTCACGTTATCTCAGCTATGTACCATTCTATTTATTATAGATTGATGTTTGCATTTTCTATTCCTACATCAACATAGTTATTTATAAAAGTATGATGTCTTCCTCTCTGCAAGCCTCTCTTGTTCCTTCATCTTTCTGTCTCTGTCTTGCATCATCTCGAAATAGCACAGTATTGTTGAAGCTTATTCGTGTATTTTTACAAAAGATCTGAGTGTTTCTTTTAAAAGCTATCAGATCAGTGAATGTGTTTTTGACTCCAGTATTAGACCATCTGTTCCTGTTTTTTGTTCTGTTTGATTGATTTATTGGGCTTTTTGCTTTATATCCAGTAGAGGAATCAAATTGTGGCCAAAGGTAGTGTATCTTTTGGAAAAAGAGATTACATCTATGGGTTTAAAGACAATTTGAGATTTTTCTTTTCAAGGACAGCAAGAGGAAGATAATGACATAATAACTATTTCCTTTTTTAGGATCTGAATCTAAAAATGGTGAAGCAGACAGTTCAGATAAAGAAATGAAACATGGGCAAAAATCTCCCACTGGAAAACAAACAAATCAGCACTTAAAACGATTAAAAAAGTCTGGTTTAGGTGAGTGTTCAATAGACTATGACATTTCACATATTTGAGATTTATATCTTTTCAAATGAAATTATAGAAAATTCCTAGATCATTTTTTAATGGTTAAACAAGGAAATTTAAAAAGCTTTCCAATTTACCTCAACCCAAAAGGGTGCTAACTAAGGAAACATAGATACACCACAGTGATTTCAAGTGTATTGCTAAGTATGTAAATGATATTGGATGAAATGGAGACTAAAGATAAAGGATTTAAAAAATGACTTATATATTGGAGTAATCATCTGTCAAGTCATGATACTACCTAAAATGCAATGTTTTGTTCCTGTAACTAGGTTTCACATATTAGAATACAGTGGATTGGGGTGGGGGAAACCTTGGGGTTTCTTTAGCTGGAATGTACCTTGCCACTGGGGTCTGTTGTAGAAAACGGCTTTACCTTGCTTTTCATCTGTACTGCCTGAAATACTCAGGAGGGCTTTTCTATTATTGCTAAGAAGTATAGGAGACACAGTCCTTGGTGTTGTAAGATGGTATCAGGTTTTCTTCTGAAAATGTGCCTCCTGATAATTTTCCATCAAAAATTCAACAGCAGCATTCAGAAGGAAAGAAAGGCATATGAAAATAAAAAGGGTAAAAATAAAGCCATCTTGTGTTGAGTACTATAATTCTTGACACAATCTGCCTTGCTGGGTACCTGGACCTAATTTCACTTGGTTATTATATCTCCAAATAAGGTCATGGTTATGAACTGGATCATAATGACATTTTATAAAATAGATGGAACAAATTACAAATTTATGTGCCTGAGCTTTAGTGCTGATTTGGCCACCTACTTACTTTGCAACTTAAGATAGTTTTTATTTGCTCTTTATTTGTAAAATTCAAACAAGATTTTAACCCATGTCCTTTTTTTTTTTTTTTAATTTCCATGGGGATTTATTGATTGCCTACTATATACCAGGTATACAGGCTTTTGATAAATCCTGGGAACATACTCAATAAAAAGTCTTTGGGATTTTTCTTAAATATAATTTAATTGATTCATCATTGGTTTACAAAATTATTTAAACTTTGGGATTATTTAAACTTTGGGATGTCACACCTTGATATATGGATATCTATCTATCTCATCACATGCACCAAAATTCTGGTGTCATTCCCACTATCAAATTAACCTTTGTACACTTTCCTCCTGCTGTATTCATCTCTGGTAACTGCCATATTTCTCAGTCTTGAGTTATTGTTGTTGTTCTTTGTTGGTTTGTTTGTTTATTCATGTTCCACATAATGAGAGCTACCATTCTGTGATTGTCTTTCACTTTGACTTATTGCTTAGCATAGTCACCTAAAGTTCGATATTGTCCAGAAAGGTAAGATTTCATCTTTTCAAATAATTGAATAGTATTCCATTGAGTATATATACACATATATACTGCAGTTTCGCCATTCAGTCATTTATTGAAGAATTTTTGATTGTCTCCATATCTGGTTATTGTGCATTTTTTGTGATTTATTTTTGTGCATTTATAGCTGTTGTCATAGAAGTAATCAGTAAAAAGTCTTTGAATAGGATTTATTTATTTCCAGATAAGATTATTTTGGAGAAGCAAAATTTATTTTTTGCTTTAGATTCTGTAAACATAACAAATTACCTCTTTTGCATTACTTCCAGGCTAAGTGTTATACATTTTGTCTAAAGCACAATGGATGAGTTTGTGTTTGTATATTATCAGTTTTACATATTTGTTTATGTGGATTTGTTTTACTCTTTTGGTTGTTATAAAGTAAATACTTTAATGTGATTCGCTTCTGAAATAAAAAGAACTATAATGAAGGAGTAATAGATGAATAAAGTACTAAAGAAAACCCTAAAACCATCCAAAAAGTTCCGTGGCTTGATACCCCAAGCATACTAAGTCTCACTTTCAGTTTAAAACAGTCTGCTACCATCCTCAGTAAACTTGCTGCAAATCTATTTTAAGAAAATTCAAAGCACAGGACCTCTCTTATATTGCTTAGCTATGGACTGAACCTACATTTAGGTCTGTAAGGATCTGTTTTTATTTTCAATATCCCCTCCAATGCTCAGGTCTTCATTCAGGCTCTCTTATATTCTTACTGTTGTTACCTAGCAGTCCTGCATCTCTCTAAATTATCTTACATGCTAGAATTTGTATTATCATAGTATTTTAATTTATTTCTTAGCAAATTCAAATGTGATAAATGAGAATACCCTGTTCTTTTTAACCAACTTTCCTTTGGGTTACAAAATAGTAGAAATAATGAAGTTACTTTAATGAAGGAATGGAGAAGTGAAATCATATTCTCTGCCTCTACTTAAAGGAATGTTCTAGGTATTTTTATATAACTTGTCTCACTTAATCCCTTTTCAAAAACAGAGTGCAGTGATTTCCATTTGTAGCTGAAAAAACTGAGGCACAGAGGTTAAGAAGTTTGCCCATAAATGATACAGTTAAAATACAAACCAAGATACAGTTAGACAAAGCTATTAATCTTGGATGTGATCTGAATGTCAAATAGATTATAGATCTGCGGGAACCTTCCAGGAGCAACATAGCACTCCAAGAAGTGCTGTGTCTGGCATGGTTTTAAAAGGCAACTTCTAGATACACAGAAAGAAGCTTGCAACTATAAAACTCCCTGGCTGATCTTGTATGGTGAGGTTTAAAATAAGTCAATTAAGGTAAAATTGTCAGAAATAAACCGGAGGTGATAACTGGGAAGAACTGTGTCTGATAGACATTCCACTCTGCTGCTTGTGATGGCGATCACACTGTGCGTGTGAAGTCAGTAGTATTTGTTAAAGCACTACTGTGTGCGCACCAATATACAGAGAAAAAGTGAAAAATGGGGGTAAAAAAGCCCTAAATGTAACTATCTTCAGACAGTAATCTGTGTCTCTTTTTAGAATGTAATTGTTTCGGTATTTTGTGACCTTGGGAGTCTTATGATGTAAAAGTTTTCTATGAAACATTTTAGAATCTGTATGGTGTTTAGTGTTCAGTAAGGAATATTGATATGCATTTTCCTCCCTTTGATATTAAGTTGTTGATATCTTGGGAATAATGGCCTGTCCATCTTTTTATTTCTTATTGTATCCATTATATCATTCATGCTCTGTAGGTGTTAAATAAGTGTTAAGCGAATGTATGAACGGATTAGTAAACTTGTCTGGATGAGGCCTCCCGTGGGTGGGTTTTGGCATAGCAACACAGCTCTATATGTCCTTGAATGAAGATGGTATCTGTGCTCTTGGGGAAGATCATTCTTTGTGAACCATATGAAAAGAGATGATCCCACACAACCTAGTGCAGGCCAGGTAGAGAAAGCCGTCCGCCTTCATCTGTTTCTCCCACCAGAGTCAGACATCTAATTCACACAGTTTCAGAAATGTAACTTTAGCCATCTTTGCTTTGTGTAGGGAGAGGTAACTGTCTGTAAGTACTACCTGTTGAAATCATTCTGAATTAAAACTGATTGAGGGCTGTTCTGACTTAAATTGGTACTTCTGAAACTAAATCCTGTCATTAGACTTTAAGTTTTTTCCCTCACTGAGATTTCTCTAACATGGTATAAAACATTTCTAATTATCTCTTAATTATTTCCTTTTGCTCTCTGGCAATTACTGATTGCAGGATATTTGTCCTATTCTAGGTAAAGGTTTGACCTTAACCTTGGACTCTCAAGCACATACAGACCAGGGCTCAGTGTTTCCTTGAGGACTGCAGTTAAGGGAACAATACAGACTTCTCAGTTCCTTTCACACGACAGCTTCCCTGGGAGGGTTAGGAGCACACACTTAAAAAAAAAAAATTGAGCTTCAGCTTTCCTTAGTCATTCTAGCTCTGATGGTGATTTAGTACTTCTTGTGAGAAACATGTCACTCTCAACTTGGCAGTCCATTATTTTAATAGTGTTCTTATTGCTTTGTTTGTTCTTGGTCACGGTTATATATAAAAATTATGGGAAAATTTTTCAGAGTAACTCTTCTATTGAAAAGACATGGTTTCATGGCAGGTGAGTGCATTTAAAATAAATAAGGAGCTGAGAGTGTTTGTTGGATCGTGTTATAATACAAAAACAAAGACGAAACCTTGTTGGTCCTGCTCCCATTTCTAAATCATACATGATAGAAAACACAATGCTGATATGCATTAAAATAAATAATGCTAGCAGTATCTATGAGAGATGAGAGACCCTTTATTATCATAGGTCTTGAGAATTAATATAATAGTGAGAGAACACCAGATATCCAGCCATATAAGACTCATCTAGTGAGATGAAAGATAGGTGGCAGATGCAGTAGAGTTTGAAGTACATGATTTTCTGTCTGATCAGTTATGTTGAAACCCTCTCTTCTTTTTTTTTTTTTTAAGGTCTATTTATTTATGCATACAGAACTGGGGTACAAGGCCAGAGGTGCAGGGGCGGTGAGATATCCTTTCTTCTTAACAAATGATGAAGTTCATTTAAAATTAGTAGTTACCAGAAGGGAAGTAGGAAGGAGAGTGGGTACATCAGAAAAAGGGAGCAGGGTATGGGGGATAGATTTAAACTTTTAGAGGTGAATTTAATGTAGTATATACATATTGAATCGACACACATCACACCTGAAACTTAAATAATGTTATAATGCATCGTTACTTCAATATATTAAACAAATGTGGTCAATAAAAAAATCATAATAAAAATTTAAAAACTCATTTAAAACTTCCCCTCTGGAATTTTCTGAGGTGATCCTAGTATGTTAACCTCTCACTGTCTTCAGAGTATTGAGAGGAAGGATTGTGAATATCTTGTTATGTATTATTTTCTCACATTTTTCTCTAACCAAAATGCAATTTCCTTGAATTAGGGGTCATTGACCTAAAGTGGTTTTTAATTATACTTCTTCCTACACAATCACACAGTAGGCATTTAAAAAGTGCTTGCTAAACAAATCTTAGCTTCTAATGGATGTCTCTGAGGGATTTTTAATAAATTTCCTC